TGCTGCTCTTTGAGCTTAGTTGATTTCTAGTAGACATTATCCAAACTAGGCAACATCAATGGTACTAAGGAGTGGGATTCCTCTAAATTTATATTCTGGAGACCTCCAAGACTATTCCCACCAACATTGACAGGGTAAGTCAGTGGAATATAAATTGAGAGCAAACCTACTCCTAGGTGATGTTACCTACTTTGGGTAATGAAATATCTACAAGAAAATAACTAAACTCACAGAACACAAGGGCGGGTTGTTGTCTTAAAAAGAAGTTTGAGAAAGGAGTGAAGGAATCCATTTGTGCCAAAATGGAAAATACTTCTCAGACACAACCAATTCCCCCAGTTTTTATGCTGCTCTTGCATCAGTCCCAAGGAAGATCAAGATCACTTCACAGATTCACCAGGGAGATCACATTTAATGACCCATCTAAGAGAAGAATTTAGGAACAATGACCCTTAAGGACTCTGCCTACTCAGCTAAGGAGCCTATTCAGATTAGATGAAATGAAACCATACTGGAGGACATGTATGGGGTGTCCCTTACCACCTTGCACAGACTGAAGAAGCTACTTCAAAACAAACCATTTCAAACAAACAAATAAACAAAAAAGAGCAGTGAAGTTCAGTTGTCATGACTCAACTTCCAGACATTTCTTTTCATGTCCCACAGGCATCAATGCTCTATTCAGAGTTTCCTTGCTTTATTATAAGCATATTCTAGTTATTTGCAGTTTCAGAGTAAATATGCCAGGAATTACAAATGGAGTTATTTATCATGATTTAGGGTTCTGTAAAACTCCAGGAACCTTCATTCCTATCTATTTCTTTGTGGTCCTTTCCAACTTCAGAACTTCAGATAGTGTTTTCTATTATTAATCAAACAACATGTAATTGAACAACAACTTGTGGACTATCTATCAAACTAACCAAATCTTGTCCTGAGTTATATGTGGTCACAGAAAATAGAAGCAAAATATGTTTGCTTTACTTTCTGTAAGCTGGATGCATTGGCAAGAGGCACAGTATGCAAATCCTATTAGCCCTGCTTGGTGAAATCATATCTCATTATCCTGTGAGAAAGCAGTAACCATATTACAAGCAACAAGGAATTGGACCACACAAAAAAGCTGGAAATAGTCAAAGGAGGTGCCAGTGCATTTTACTTCTCTGATGCAGAGACAGAAATGGAAATCTGAGCAGTGTGCTCCCACCTCAATTTGAAACAGCCGGCTCACTTCCTTGTTCTGCTTCCCAGGCACTCCTGGCACCTATCAAATATCAGCCATTAAAGATAGACATAAACCTGGTTTATATTCTGCCGAATGAAACTGCAATGCTTTTCCTGGAGGGTGCCATTTCACATGGCAATTGCAAACTGCATGCTCCATTAAAATGCAAATGGAGGGGAAAAGCAAATAGGAACCTTCTTTGTCATAAGAATACTACATGAATAAGAAACTTTATTTTTACAAAGTGAGACAGAATTTTATAAAGTGTTTATCTACCAGTTTCCTAAAGTGGTTCAGCCCAACAAATTTTTCTCTTCACCTCGCTGGACGTGAGATGCATATTGGAGATTTTAAAAAATTGTTAGGGATTTAAATATATGAATACATAATTTAGGAAAAAAATACTGTATGATGTTGTCATTAGCAAGACAGGAATCCTATGGCAACTTGAAAGCTAACTGATGTTGTCATGGCACAAAATCTGTGATGAACAGATTTTCATAGAGGTCATTCATTGTCATATGGATGGTCATTTTAGCCACTCCTGTATTCATTTTTTTTCTTTTTATTTTCAAAGTACAATAGAAAAATGAATACAAAACTTAATTCAAATAATTTCCTAATAGTTGCTGAACACATTGATATACACTTTTTTCTATTTCTGAGTTTTAGGTACAACGTTCCTTTGGAGAAATTTACTAATCCTCCATCTGGTTACTGATAGAATTGCTTCTATGATGAGCTTAAAATAATGGAACAAGTTTATGTGGGCTTGTGATTTTAGCAGAATTACTTGTGATGTAGCCACAATAAAATTATTCAAACTTCTTTCTGAGTGAACGTTTAGATTCACATGATTTCTCCTCTGTATGTTTTTTTCCTAAGTTTTCTTTTTAGTTTAGAATTAAAAAAAGAGACTTTTGAAATTGGACAGCTAATGAATTCAAATAAATAAATAAGATTTCACTATAGCTAAAATATATGTAACATGCAGTTTACATTTCTTACCACATTATAGGAACATAGGTTTATTCTTATTAAGTATTCAATGTAAGGTTATCATTTGTCTAATTTAACATGAACACTCGCTGGACTTAAGAATTTGGTTTTTCTTTTTCTTTAAAAATAAAGATTAATACTGCTTTTAATGAGTGTATATCAGGGATAAAATTCAACCACCTCGCACCACCTCAGAAGTGGTAGGAATGATTTGAATCAGTTCAGAGAGGTGGTAGGGACAATTTGAATCGGTTGGCTCCGCCCACGCCCACTAGCCTTCTTTGTAGAGACTGAGTCCCACTCCTACGCCCATCAACCTTCTTCCTTTTAGGGACTGAGTCCCACTAAGCCATGCCCACCAAACTACGCCCACAGAGCCAGTCGGGAAAAATTTTGAATTTCATTTCTGGTGTGTATATGTGTGATTTAGGAGGAAAAAGAATTAGTACAAATTATATGAATTACAATACATAATGACAAAAAGTATGTTTATATCAGTTAAAACTTTAGCAGAATGTTTAAAATATTAATAGCAATTCATCTGTCAAATAACTAATCAACATCTTTTGCCAGAAGGACAGAATAATTAACCAACTATCTATACCTTTGCAAAATAGAACTGAAATTCCCCTTCCAAATGCAGGGACAGATGTCAGAATCAGCAGAACTCATTAATAGGGTATTGTACCAGAAATGGTGTTCAGCAGTTCTCGCGAACTGGTTGCGGAAATTTTGAGTAGTTCAGACAACTGGCAAATACCACCTCTGACTGGAGATTTTACAGTATCGTTCCCCTGCCATGCCCACCAAGCCATGCCCACAGAACTGGTAGTAAAAAAAATTGAATCCCACCACTGTATTGTAGTCTTTTCATATTTGATTTAACAGCAAAAGGGTGAAGATTCTCTGAGCTACAAACTGGTTCAGATCTTTACAAGATAATAATGTTGTTTACAAAATAGAATTACCATTCACATGTATACCAGGAACTATTTTCAAGGTAGTTATAGCTTTTATTGTAAACAATTTACACATTCTCATGACCTCAGTGATTTTATCCAGTAACTAATACAATTTTCCCATTTTTCTATCTCACTTCCTGTGAGATGAATTACGCCATATACTGTATGAAATTAAAATGCATTTCTTTCTTGTTATCAATTCAATATATCTGATGACCAGCACAGATAATATGCATTTTGAAATCTGTGTGTGTGGCAGGATGTGCAATACTATTCTTAAAATCAGGGAATAACTAGACTTCTCTGGACCCCAGTCAACCTTTATTATTCTAATTTTACTCATCAGTTAAAGGATACTAATGGGTAATTAGAGAATGCAGACCTGTTTTTCAGGAACTTGCATTGATGCATGATGGGGAAGGGAGAAAAAAGGGAGAGTATGAGGTAAATTGTTGGGGTCAACATGCTGACTCTGGAAACCACTTAGAAAGGACTCTAAAGCACTGTGAAGTGATATATAAGTCGAAATTATAAAGGGGTATTGCTATTCAAACAAAACCCAACCATGTTTAATATGAAGGGTTTTTTAACCTTGCCCCACAAATGTCTGCTTATGCAAGAGAGTTGTGTGAAATAAACAATTAAATATTCACATGTTGCGGTAATTGAAAAGACCATAATCATTTGCTATTACAAATAAGAACACTGCATATTTTGAATATTTAGATTACTGGGTGTTATGTTTTAAAATCCCTTCTTCTCTTTGTTCTTTACCTCCCTAGAACAGAAGCCTGAAAAGTTTATAAAAGGTGCCTAATTTTGCCTGATTTTATTGCATATAGAAGTGCAAATGTTTTGTCTGTGAGCATTCGTGAGTATGTCACTTACCACAGTTACAGCATCATTCAAGAGAGATTCCCCAAAAACTAAGATGTACAGCTGCTCGTTGACATGAATATTTTCAAAGACAGCCAACACAGCCACAGGATCCACGGCTGAAATCAAACTCCCAAAAAGCAGGCTCTGCAGTAGAGTGATGTCACTCAGACCAAAGGCCTCAACCTGGCAAATGGCAAAGAGAGAAATGCCAATGCCAAAAGAATTCCAGAGTGTGCCCACAACAGCATACCAAAAAATGGTTCCAAAGTTCTCAAAGAAGAGGCGTGTTGGCATAAAATAACCAGCATCGAGGACAATTGGAGGAAGAAGATATAAGAAAAAAACATCACTCTTCATCACTGGTGGAGATTTTTCCTGTACCCCAAATATAATTCCACCTAAAATCAGTCCGATCACAATAAGGAGACAACTTTCTGGAACTATCTGGGGCAATTTGTGGTAGAGATGAAAACCTTCAAATTAATGGAGAAAGAAAGAGAAGGAGAAGAAATATTATATTGTGACCAAAAAAACCTAATGACATTATACTTAACATATTAATTTTATTTATTTTTGTATTTAAACCATTCCCTTCAATGCATTTTTATAAATTTACAATTAAACCCTCAAAAGAAAAAGAAATTAGCTAACCCACATACTCTTCATTTATTATAAGTGCCATAAAACCAATCAAACTATAAACTTTCTATGAGCAAAATTTGCAGGAAAGAATTAGTCTGTTAGGTAAATTTTATTTTATTTTATTATTTTTGTTTTGTTTTATTTGTACTGTACCTTTATTATTTTTAGAAAAAAGCAGCTTGGAACTCATGAGATAATGTTATTTTTCATGATTTGATACCAATGCTTTAAAACTGCTTAGATAAAATGATTAATTCAGACTTTAATTGATTTGTGGTTTGGCAAAAGATTCTTTAGAAGAGTGGTGCTTTAAGGTTTTTAGCTGAGAAATACAGTATTTTGCAAGTGTCAACATTAGATCAAAGTTCAGTGGAATGGTTCATTCTTTGGAAAGAAAATTCTACATACTAGGGTTGTAGACTAGCCTGGGAAGTTCAAAAAAGCATTCCAGAGAAAGGCAAAGGCATTTTTTGTGCATAATTGCAAAAAACCTAGATGGATATTCCCGTGAATTTATTTAGAGTCCCTTACAATGATTGGCCCTTGAATGAGTATCTATGGAGATTCTCAAGACTCTATGTCATGTTGTCCCAAAGGTGCTTTTTCAAAAGACAGCTGAATTTTGTTTTTCCTTGAAGATGTTTCACTTCTCATTCAGGAAGCTTCTTCAGTTTTGACAGTGTCTTCGAGGAAAAACAAAGTCCAGTTGCCTTTTGAAAAAGCACCTTTGGAATATCCTGAGTCAGTTTCTTTCATCAGGTATGAACCAGGTAGCATTCTATTCATTGGCTGTGCCCATTTGCACACAAGAGTCTCACTTTTCACTACAGACTTTAAGAATCTGCTTTTGGTCTGGCAGGTTGAGGAAACTATCTAGAATAATGTCATCTGGAGGAAAAGAGAAATCACAGCCTACATCTCACACAATTGAGATGTCAGTCCAATCAGTAGAAGGAACAAAATTTACAGGTATGTCAGGCACCACTTTGTGGTTACTGGAAGTAATATGGGGCTGTTTGAACTATGAATGTATTCAAATCAGAAGGAAGAATAGTGTCTTCCCTGTGAAAACTTGTGTTTCTAGTGTCTGAGTGGATACTTTTTATCAGGGGTGGGATTCAATTTTTTTTAACAATCTGTTCTGTGGGCGTGGCTTAGCTGGTGGCCGTGACTTGGTGGTAATGTGACTGACTGTGCATGGCCAACTCAACATCACTCACATCGAGGCACGCATCTCCTCGCCTGGCCTCTCATGACTGTGGGGATGCTGCAACAGTCGTAAGCATGAAAAATGGTCATAAATCACTTTTTTCAGTGCCATTGTAACTTTGAATGGTCACTCCACACAAGCAAAGTACCAGCAAAGGAGAGAGAAAAAAACCTCCAGAGACGTTCCTGAGACAGGAAGTCTAGTCCTGCCAAGAATGTAATAAGGGTTAATGGAGAGGCAGTTTCTGTAAGCAACAGCAGAATGTTTCCTTCCTGCATTCCTTACAGGATTAGGCCAGTAATTTCTTCTAACAACCAGTTCTCCGAACTGCTTAGAATGTTAACAACTGGTTCTAGCAATAGGTGCGAACCTGTAGAATCCCACCCCTGCTTTTTATGTACTCTTTATGTGCCACACGCACATAAATGTGTGTGTGTGAATAAAAAATAGACAAGCAAAAAACATATTAAAAGATAGGAAAAAGTCAAGGAAAAAGCAAGATAAAAGTGCAAGGAAAAAGGAATGAAACAATAAAATCATAGAAAAAGAATAATTTTCCACTTTTTGATACAAATATAGATAAAAAATACATCAAATTATTACTCTAAAATTAACAATGTTCCATATTATTTCTAAAATCCCATATATTCCAAAAATCACAATTTCATTTTTTTCATATTCTCACACAAAGTCCAAAAGTGGTCTCCAGGTAAGTTATAAAATTAATCAAATCTTATATTTAGTCAAAGCTGTCAATTTTACCATTTCCACCAATTCTATCACTTAACCATCCATTCTTTCATTTTAGGTATTTGTAAGTCTTTACATTTTTGTGCATACATAAGAATCTTGCCACTGTTATCATGTATAAAAATAAAGATTTTTGGATATGTTACATTAACCACAAACAAAAGTCTTTGATTTCAACTGTACATTTATTTTTAAAAACTTCTGAATCAAAAATCAAACTCTTGTATTGTAGCCTTATCTGTGAAATTGTTTGTTGCAGAGAATTGCATCTTACAGATGAGTTAAACAAAGAATGACCATTTGTCTACTGTTGGCTGCCTGAACTCTCCTTAATTGTCTGATGGCCCTTCTGCAAAGCTCTTGGGAAGGAAGCCTGTGAAATTTCCTGAGGTCATGGGCTTGGAATAATTCAGGCATTTGCTTGCTATGTGGACCCAGATGTGGCATTTTTTGGCTGAGTCATTAGCATGAATTTTAGCTGTGTAAGAGCTAGCTATTTGAGAGCTCTGTGGTAAAACATAACCCCAAATTTCTCCTTCTTTGTTGATTTCTGAGGACAGAAATCTCTTAACTCCTCCAGTTTCAGAGGTTTGCCACTGCTGGATTTTGAAAGACCTTCGGGAGGTAGACATGGCTTGAAAAGGCTTAAAATCCATTCCGCATGCCATGTTTCCCACACCTCGACTTTTCCAGCCAGAAATCCATTACCAAACAATATTGGACTAACTCTTCCAAATTATCCGAGGCACCTTTTGTCACCAATTCATCTCTCATCTTATCAGTAAATTATTCTGTACATTGATCAATCAGATAATTCAACCCCACATCCATAGCAAATAATTTAAAACCTGGTATGTATGCCTGCATAGTGCACTGACCGTATTTGTAAACCTTATGGTTTCCTGTCATTCTATTGATCAAATCATTAAAGGATGTTCTGAGTAATTTTCCAATACTATCCTGTTGCCATGGGCTTTATCCAAGGTTCAGCACCTGTTGCTGTCCTAATGGATTCTGCTTGCCTTCTCCAAGGTCATCTCACAATTAGTCAGATATGCGGCTGTTCCACCCCAGCTAAAGAACTGAATGTGATTCATAATGCAAAGTGTAAAGTTACTAAAAGAACACTTGAAAAGGTTTCCTATATTTGCCTGAGCAACTAAAGTCCTGACATAACAGTGCAGGCAAAATTAAAAGTGGACTCTTAATGATCAAGGATTAATTATTCCTGAATTACTGAATGTCTCTTGAAGCTTCTTGGTGGAGTATGGGAAGTATGGTCTATATCCTATATACTCATAAGGACTTTCATTGATCTCCTCCCCCCACCCCCCCAATGTTATTAAAGGTGTTCACTAAGAGCTTTCCATCACCATCTCTTTATGAGACCTGATATGGATATATCCGAGATGGCCACTGCTGTCCTTTTCTTAAAACTGTCTCAGATCATCTTTAGTTAACTATTACCTAATCATAATGAATGTTGTTAAAATGGCCATACAAAACCAATTTAGGTTATTAACTCTAAAATCCACATGTCAATTCAGAAATCACAAACTAATGAGTAAACCATTATGTTCTTTAGTGTTCTTCCCAAACAAAACAAACAGTATAAGGAAAAAGATAGAAGTTGATACTGAAATCATGGCATACCCATTAACCAAGCTTTAATCAAGTTGAAATGGATCAAATGATATAAAAATATGAGAGGTAAGCATTTACCACTAAGAATCCTTTAAGAATTATAAGAACTATATCTTGCTTGGAAAATGTATATAAACCATGTGTTAGATTACAGTACTAAATTTTACAATATTGAATGTGTATTAATTTGAAATGAACATGCAGCAGATTTGATTAAAGTTTAAATTACATAAGTTTTGCTGTTTTTCAGAAACAAGACAAAACAAATGAGATGCAAATGCTCTGTAATCTTGCATTATGTCGGTGATCTCCAGATTGTGAAATTCTCAATCAGCATTTAGAGGTTATTAAAATTAGAGAAGGCTGCTAAATATTTATTTCATACATTTTAGAGATAAACTATGATATAAAAAGAAAGTTTAAATTCTGATAAACATTTTTGAGGACTCAATAATAACAAAAATATTATTTGTAGAAAATACATTTTGCATTTATAAGACTACTGACTTGGGAGATGAAATTGATTTATGTTTCAGTATATTTAGAAGTCCATTGCAACTGATTATTTTCTATTATTTGCTGAGTTGCGTACTCCTCTGTAAATTATTTTATTTTTGCTATTTTGACATGGTTTGCCACAAGCATAGAGTCACCTCTCACACAGAGAACATTCATGTTTATCCCTCCACATATTCGACACTTAAGCCATTTAATTACACAACTTGCAATTAAATGGGAGAAAACCAGGAACTGTAGTTCTTTATTATAGTTCACAGCTAAGTTGTAATTCATACTGTCTACTTTTCAGTCTACTGAAATATATACTAAAATGATTCACTCATATAGTTTTTCATTTATGAGTAATTTTTCTAAAAAGTCAAATTTTACATCTTTCCTAAGTGTTAGGAATAGAAATCCTATTATACTTGTCCATGTAGTAAAAGTAGACTAATTTTTATGCTACTGTTTGAACATCTACAATTAACTTTTGAAATGTGTTTACCACATTTACTTCCTGATAATTAACAGTCAGGATAAACAAGTGCAATCAAAACTAACAAAAGAAAAAAGAATATACTAAAGTGCCAAACTTTTTCAAACCTGGACTCTTGTACACTCTAGTGGTATTTTTGATGAGATGAGAAACCTACTTATCTGTTTATCTGTATTCATTTTTATTTTGATGAACTATAGATAGTTTAAAGCAACTTCACTGCAGTCATAGATCATTGTAAAAATGTAATGCAATAGAAAAATAGTAAGTTTACTTTAACTCAAGTAACAAGGGTCATCATATATACTGGAGGGCACAAGTACTTGGGTATTAATTTGTCAAGTCTTTTCATAATTTACAAACCATAAAACAAAACTTTGCCACATTTAGGACAAAGATATATGGGCTCTTATCTGAGCCTAGCTATTTTAAACAGAATAAATCTGAGTAATTAGGATAGATAGAATATAGGTCAGAAATACTTATACTCTTGGATATCAGAATATACTGTAAGTCTTTGCATAAAATTAAATAGAGACAAGGCATCACATGTGCATAATCTGTTCACTTTGAGAATTTTCTTGAACTTCCTGTGAATGATGTCATAAAAGTAAGGCCATTAAAACAGGTTAAGGTTAATACCTGTAACAGTATGTGTGAATAACCTTGGTGGACAGAAGAAAGAGCCATAGGCTCTCAATGTGTAAAAGATATAGAAGCCTGCAGAAGGAGAGAAGACATGGGAAATGCTTCAAAAGGGATCTTTTTCAGAGAATAAAAGGAAAGAAGGGGAAATATCCTTTCAACCTTTGTTATAGATTTTGTTATAGTAACTTTACAATAAATATAGAGCTAGCTGTGCTTTCTTTCTGGACTACCTTGCAGGGCTTCTGAATTTAGGACTTGTTAAAAAAAATGTAAAAGTAGCAAGCATGTTTTAAATGGCGTGTTTAGATTTATGAAATTCGAAGACTTTATTGCAGTAATTAACCAGCACCATTCATAGCAATATTATTTCTTTTAAGAAAGAATCCTGTGTAGGATTAAAGCAAAAGTCTGTTTGGGTTCCTATTGGGTACTGTTCCTATTGATGCCTTACTAGATATCAATCAAGATTCCCATTTTTGTTTTTTAATCAATTTTTGTGGTGTTTAAAGACACACTGCCTCTGATCATATTGTTAAAAAAAATATTCTTACATGTTTTGATTGATTGACCAATAGCCATAACATTTTTGTTAATATTATTAGTCACTATTAACTTTATTTTCCATATATTGGCATAATCCTGCTTTTAAAGTAGCAAACTTGACTATACAGCAATGAATTGCATAAATAATGTAAGGACCAGAGTTAAGTATTTCCTTTCATCAGGTGTGAATGAACAGGGAGCACTATAATACTTAACCATTATTGTACATGCAAATTTTTGGATTTCATTTGAAAAAAAAAATCACTTTATTTGTATAATAAATATTTTGAGCAACTTTTACATAAAATACTTTGAAAACCTACAACATCTGGAAATATACAGAAGATTTTGTTGATATTATGACATCCAATTAACATCATGCATGAAGAATCAGGACTACACTTACTACAGGTAAGATGATTTATTGTTCATGTCTATTAATAAGAATCTAGTTAATGGTCAACACTAAAAATGGCACTAGATAAGAGTTAACAAAATTCAAGAGGGGTTGGACATAGACTATTTGTGAGCACATACAGAAGAAACTCTAGGCTGATTCCTTTCTTGACTCTGCACCTTGTCTATGCCGGTACTTCTCCTACATCAATTTCCTTAACAATTATTGTAAAACTACTATAAAGAAGCTTTTGTTTAAGAAAACTTTCCAGACTAGCCTATAGTCTTGGATTACATAAAAGTCTTATCCTAATACTAACCAGGCTTATCCTAGTACTAACCAGGCTTAACTGTAGTAAAAAAATTCCAGGCCCAGGCAAGTTGGTTAGGTGCTATGGCTTGTTAAAATTGTCCAATTGAACTGAGGAGAAATGTGGGCGATGACTGATACAGGCAATTTTCTGAATGTCAGCTTTATTGATATCTGAGACAGAACTTTACATTGTAGGATTGAACCTAAATTTTATTTTAATTCAATATTCTCATGCATGCATTAAACAAGACAAGAATTCACATCATCCTTGTTTGATGCAGGCATGAACTTTGCTGTAAGCGATAAACCAAATACTACAATACCTTGTAGCAATACCTTTAATTATCTACAAACAGATAACTAATTTACACTGTGTTAAATTTTATTCATTTCAGAATTTACTATCTACCTCTTCCGTACAAATTTAAAGCATCAAATAGTATATGACCCACCTTATGCTTTCAAGTTCCAAGACTGAGGTGACATTATATACTAATTTGTTATTTAAAATATTTCCTGTCATATATTTCCACAGCAGAATACAAAATTTAAAATAAATTGAATAGAGAAATAAAAATATATAAAATATAATAATATATACATTATGTAAATGGGGAGAAAGAGGGAGAGAGAAAGAGAGGAGAGAGAGAACAACAGCAAAGAAGTTCAATCTCTTTATCATTAACTCTTAAATACTGAAGGAAATAAGACTTTTTTTAACATGCAGCTACTAAGTTTGCATCTCTTGATTACTAGAGAGACTTTCTAAAGAATAGGCAGGATGAGATGAAAGGTGGCTTTCATGGATGAGCTTTTATCACTAGCTTCTTCTTTTATGAACTTAAGACATGAAAAAGTCATACCAAGCAGATCTAAATAAATTAAAAGCTTCTTGTGGAATGTGATGCTTCCTGAATGGACTCCCAGGATCACACATATATACCAAACAGAAGAAGAAGGATCTCCAAATACATAATTCCAAGCTAACCAGAATAATTTAAAATGGATATAATTAGATATTCTTGTTTGGACACTTTAGTGGAATAATGGAATGCACACATCCTTGAAATGAATTCCATCCTAACCATTGCACAGGCTTATCCATGTCCTTTTCTTAGCAACAATATTGAAGTTGTTTGCCATTGTATGCTTCTAAGATACATTGTCTTCCCAATTTCTTAATATAGTCTTCAGCCACCAGCATATCCTGATGGTCTCTCATCTGAGTCCTGAACAGGTCTAGCTTCCTGACCTAAGCAAAGCAAATATTACCTGTTGTGATACTTTCTAGGAAGCCCAGAATAATTAAGTAGCATTTATACAAATCTGAAATGGATGTGGTCTTAATACATCGACATTAGAATTTTGGGACAAATCTGAAACAACGGGACCATACACACACACACACACACACAAAACTACATAGAGATTATTGCATACAGGTAATCCTTGACTTACAACAGTTCATTTAGTGACCGTTCAAAGTTACAATAGCACTGAAAAAGTGACCTATGACCATTGTTCAGAGTTATGACCTTTGCATCATCATCATTATCATCTGATTAAAATCAGATGCTTAGCAGCTGGTTCATATTTATGACATGACCTTTTTTACACTTATGACCACTGCAGCATCCCCATGTGATCATAATTCAGATGCTTGGCAACTGATTCATATTTATGACAATTGCTGTGTCCCAAGATCATGTGATAACCTTTTGCAATCTTCTGACAAGCAAAGTCAATGGGGAATCCAGATTCATTTAACCACCAGGTTACTAATTTATCAACTGCAGTGATTCACTTAACAATTGAGGCAAGAGTGGTCATAAAATGAGAAAAAAGTCCATTTAACAAATGTCTCACTTAACAACAGAAATGTTGGGCTCAATTGTGGTCATACGTTGAGGACTACCTGTGTACTGTACAAAGTACTCGAGACATTACAGCATTTACATGTTTAGACAACCAGAATTTCCTTCCTCAGTCTTTATAGTTATTCTATGTATTTCTAGAGTGCTAGATATAAGCTAAATACTCCAGAGAGAATCTTCCTGCAAATGACAGCTGATTTTCCATCAAAGACATTAGGAAGGAATTGGGATCCTTATCTAAGCATTAGCATTCTGCTTTGTTGCTTTCTTTGAGATGAGAGGAATCTTTATGCAAAACGACCTGCGGGGGAGAAATGTTTGTCATGCAAAGGGAGCACCTGGATTTGCCCTCTTCTACTTTGTCAAGTAGAACAGGGGTCTCCAACCTTGGCGACTTTAAGCCTGGAGGACTTCAACTCCCAGAATTCCCCAGCCAGCTTTGCTGGCTGGGGAATTCTGGGAGTTGAAGTCCACCAGGCTTAAAGTCGCCAAGGTTGGAGATCCCTGAAGTAGAAGACTTCTCAACGCTCTCGCCCAAATCTCTTTCGCCCTATCGGACAAGATGCCAATTGAACCACTTAGGCTTCAGAAACAGATTGAAAAACTCCGGGTGCTGGATGACCAAATCCTAGAAAGGCATCTATTACCTGCAAGCCAGCCCTTCTCCCCAAAACACCTGTTCTAAATTCACCGCCCCGAAAGCGTCCTTGACCCGAAAGGCGGCGGGGGGGGGGGGGGGGCTTACAACCCCTCTGCGTTTTCTTTCGCTTACCGATCTTGGCTAAGGAAGCCAAGAGGATCCAGAGGGTGATCTCGAAGGGGATTTGCACGTGTGGGTAATCCAAGGTGAAGACGTGAAGCCTGGTCTCCTCGAAAGGGGTCTCAGCCGGCACCTGCAAGGTGCTTGCTCTGAGACTGGGATGGATGGCTGGCATGGCAGCCGGATCTCTCCGCTCTTTCTCCAAAGCGGCGGCGGCTGCTACCACGGACGACACAAAGGCAGCCACCAGGAGCAGCGAAGGGCCGATCCCAGGACTTCCTGGGCAGCCCCGAGCAGCCCCCATTGAGCGGCTGCGGGACCGGCACTCTCCGTTTAAGTGGAAGGGGAAGCAACGCCGGCGCTAAACCGGTTCACTTCCAGCATGATGGTGGTCCTGCCCTCATCGCCTGCGGGGAAGGCAGAAGTCACGCGGAGGGGAGGGGGGAGGCGAGTGGCGAGAGAGGGAAGGCGGGCCGGCCAAGAACGCCCTCTACTCCACCTTCCACGCCGGGTTTCATCTCCTCCTGCCCGGCCGGTAGGGCTCACCTGCGGGCTCCCCCTGCCAGGCTCGCCTTTCGCTCCCCCGCCCTTCTTCTAGTACAACGCTACCTCGCCAGCCGCTTTTTTCCTCCTTCACGCACCTGCAGTCGAGAGGAAGGAGGGTAATGCCGGGCTGTGGCAATCAGCGGCCGCAATGGGCAACTTTTGGCAGCCCCAAAGAGAGTTTTCCACGCGGGCAACACCCCGCGCCTTCCTTCAACAGGAACGCTTGGGTGGGGTGGGGGGCTTTGAAGGTCACCCACAGGGAGAGACGCTTCGCAGCGCCCCCCCCCCCCCGGCCGACTTCTCAAAGGACGGCTCTCCCCAATGCGCGACGCCCGAGGGGCCTGGGCGGAGGAACGGGGCGCTCGACCCGTCCCCTCAGCAGCGCGGAGACCGGCGCGAGGGCAATCAAAAGCTGGCGGGAGATTTTTCTGAATTATAGGGAAACTTTCCTGTCAGCTGTCAAGGACAGCCGGGTTCCACAGCTCTGGCGACTGATAACTGGTAGCGTTTAGGCGAGGAGAGTACAGTGGAAAGAAACGTTAACAGGATCTCCTCAAGGGATCGGGCAAGTTGGAAATGGATCCTTATAGGAATGAGAACTTCCCAAGAGGTCGCAATCCCTTGTAAGAAAAGTGTCATTTAACCTCCTGAAGTTGTATCCATTCTCATATTATATCGCTATCTCTGACCTTGCCCATAGAGAGGTGCCGGGGAGAAATAGGATTCTGCTTCCAATAATAGCCATGACTCAATGTGTTCTGTCGGTGCAGAATTAGAGATTTGAAAGCCAACTTTCTCAACGCAGATTTGTGGACTTTGTAAGGATGTACACGGGAAGCCTTTTTTTTTTTTTTTTGGTTCCAGGGCAACAGCGTGAGAGGATTCACGAAATGCCTTGGATCCATAATTTATACTATAGGATACCATAAATGAGGTGTAACTTTAAAGTTACTGATTTATTAACTTTAAAATTAAAGACAATATTCCAGTTGGCTTTTTATCTAAGGCAGGACTAGAACTCAGTTTCCCAGATTTTGTTCCAGTACCTTAATCATTGTACCAAACTGCCCTTCTCTAGAAACCTAAGCGGCCCTTGAAAATATATTTTATAAATTTATTAACAGGTTGAAAAGGAAATTGTAGAAAGTGAGGCTTTTTAATATTAATTGGACTTATCATCACTATATTTAGTGTGGAACAGGTGAAAATTTTTGCCAAAAGCAGTTTTCTGCCCTGAGCAGTTTTCTGCCCTGAGCACCAGCGCAACAAGTCTCATCTCGCCAGTGGAGCTGTTTGCGGCAAAATGCCACAAGGCTTTTGCTTGCAGCATTTTGGACCCAGTGGAGCCGCTCGTGGCAGAATAGCAATAGCACTTAGACTTATATACCGCTTTATAGTGCTTTATAGCCCTCTCAAAGTGGCTTACAGGGTCAGCATATTGCCCCCCAACAATCTGGCTCCTCATTTTACCCACCTCTGAAGGATGGAAGGCTGAGTCAACCTTGAGCCTGGTGGGATTTGAACTGCCAAATTGCAGTAGGAGTAGCCACAAGTCTCATCTTGCTGGTGGTGCCACTCACATATGCAATGGCACACCACACCACGTGGCATCCAGCTGCAAGCGGCTCCACCAGTGCAACGAGCCTCATGGTGTTCTGCCACAAGTGGCTCCACCAGCTCCAGGGATGAGGTAAGTGAGTGCAGGGCATGTGGGGCACCCCCCCCATCCTAGCCTGATTTTTACACCTGTGTCTCACCCCACCTCATACAGCCAGATGTGGGCAGGGTTTAACTAGGGCTTATTTTTGGGGTAGGGCTTATATATTAGGTGCAGGTGTGATAATCGGGCTAGGGCTTATTTTCAGGGTAGGTTGTATTTTTGGGAAAATATGGTACTGCTTGACAAAGCCTTAGTAATACTGCATCTGGTTTTGGTCACCCCATTAAAAAAGATGCTGAGACTTTGTAAGAGAAGAACAACAAAGATGATTAGAGGCCTGGAAGCTAAAACCTACAAAGACAGGGTGAAGGAAATAAGTATGGCTAGTCTAGTGAAAAGAAGGAGCAGGGGTGACATGGTATCAGTGTTTTGATATTTGAGGGACTACCACAAAGAAGAGCGGTCAATTAATTTCCAAAGCACCTAGAGGCAAGAGAAGAAACAATGGATGGAAACTAATCAACCAACCTAGAACTAAAGAGAAACTTTCTGACATTGAGATCAATTAACCAGTGGAATGGCTTGCCTTCAGAGGTTGTGGGTGCTCCACTACTGAAGGCTTTTTTTTTTTGAACAAATTTTATTAATGTTTTTTTCAAAACACATAAACAAGCGAGCAAAACATAGGATGTAGTAACATAAAATATCTTTTCCTAAAAAAAAAAACATAGAATATCCTATTTAAAGAGCAAGATAATTCCAACTTATCACATTTCTATACAAACACAATTTAATATATATATTTATCTTATCTGTTCAACTTCATATCCTTTCCCAACTTCTCTTTACTGCTCCCTTTCCTTCTATTTAATGCTACCTCTTTTACCTTAAATTATGTATATTCATTATATATAATTTCATTAGTTCTCTTCCAACATCCTTTCAAACATAAGTAAACATTATACAAAACATAAATACATAAAACTTCTTTTTGGAAAGTGGCTTACCCCGGGTTAGATCTTTTTGTACAGACGTAAATCAAATTCGTGCTCACATGATATACTATTTCATATCTTAATTAACATTCTATATTTTCTATATATTTTCTCTCTTCTATTCATTCTTTTAATTCTATTTTATTTATTTCATCTCAGTTTAAATAATTATACTTGCATCTTTTGTCCATTCTCTTTCAATCATCTATTTTTCCTTCCTTTCTAATATTTTCCCTGTAACCCCTGGTTGAAGTATGACAACTTTTTTATCTTTCCCCTAAATTTTACACTTAAAATAATACATACTTTCCATACTGATTCTGCTTCGTACATTCTAAGTACTACGTTTCAAAATAATAAGACAAGCAAATAATATTAAATTTAGCAAGTAATAGTAAAACCAAAAAAAAGGAATATTGAGTTTATAATATAATAAAAGCAATATTTCATAGCAAATTAAACTCTATTATCAAATCTTAAACATTTTCAAGCTTCTCTTTAATGCATTATTAATTCATGTAATATTTTAATTTTCTAATTCAATTTCAAATACTAATATCTACCATACAATCTTATGTACTTTTGCAGAATCATTTTTATAAAATTATATCTTACTCCTTATCTCTAAAAAAAACTTGTTTTTTAACATCTTGTTTAAAGCTTTTATGACTTCTCTTTCCTTTTTCCCTTCCTTTCTTATCAATTCTGGCTTTTTGACCCCCCCATCTCTCAAGTTTCACTCTCTTAATCTTCCCTCTCTGTTGTATTTCTCTTTTCTGTTGCTTTCTGTCATCGTATCGATTTTTCATCTTATTTTTCTTTTTCTTGGTTGCTTTTTTAAGTCCTAAATTCACCATTTCTTCACCCCCCTTACGCTTTTCTTCTTCCACTAAAAGTATCTGTCCATTAAAGACGGCTTCTTCTTCTTCTTCTTGGTCCCAGTCTTCCTGTCGCTGTTGTATTTCTTGATAAGTAGAAATTGCCATTTCTAAAAAGTAGAAAATCGATCCAGAAGAGCCCATGCCTTCCTGTTCCTCTTCTTTCAATTTTTGAAATTCCATTTGTAAATCTTCAAAAGATAATGCCATTTTTTCTCTTTTTTAAAAAACAACCCAAATATCTTTAACCTTTCAAGAAATAGTTCACAAAGATCCCAAAGTCACAAAGCAAACCAAATCAAAACAATCAGTTCCATTTAGCACTTTCTTCTTTCTATATTTTCTCTTCCTAGGGTAGAATTCAGATACACAGTTCCAAAGTAACCTTCTAGAAGTCGTAATATCTTTTATTTTTAATCTTATAAGCTCAAAGCAGTCTCCTTCAATACAGTCTTAAAATAAATCTTTGCCTCTTCCCTTCCACTTATAACAAAATTAAGAATTTTAAGTTTTTAATTCCAATGTCCAGAAATCCTTTACCCACTTGGCTTAAAATTTCAAGTTTACCTTCTATGCCCAAGCAGGTTTTCCAGATTTCCAAGTGTTGTTTCTGTGGGAAGGTAGAGTAAAAGAAAGTAACTTTCCCTTTCAGCTTTTTTCGCCGCTTTTACGATGTTCCTTGGGAAACAATGTATCCTTTGAACGATTCAGTTTTCAGGGTATTTAGAGGTTTCTTGTAGTCTGGGTTCAGCCAAAACTTTCACCTTCACCTGCTCCCTCCAGCACAAATCTTACCCGGCTGCAGGCTTCTTTGTGGCGGCCATTACTGACCGCCGCTCCACCGCCTTGGGAAAAAGGGGTTTTGCCGGCTGAAGAGGAGGTTTGCGCCCAAACCCAAATCCGGATCCCCTCTCTCTTCGGCTGCCTCTACGGGGCAGCCCTATCCTCCGGATCCGTTCGGATCGGAGGAACCTCGGCGGCGAGCG